TATTAATTCAAAAGCATGTGTAATTCATTTAAATCATGAAACTTATACAATGTAACAGCAATGTATTAAAAGTTTAACAAAAATGACATGTTTAGGGCCCTATGAAATCTGTTTTATTTTTTCTCAAATTCCATTTTATTATTTACAAATTCTGTGTTTTCCATTTAAATTTTTCTAGATTCCATTTTAAGGGATTAATTAAATATTTGTAATCAAAACCAATGTCTAATTAGTTGAATTCATAAAAACAACTTAATTGATTGATTTGTTTACAATAATAGGGCCCTGTGAAATATTTTTTTATTTTTTTTTATTTTTTCCAGAAATGATGTGTTCTGTATTTTAATTTTTAGGGTAATCAAACCTACTGTAAAAAGTAAAACATGGAAGAAAAATTATGATTATTCATTTAAAACATTTTTATAATAATTGTATTATTATTATTATCATTATTATTCTTTTTTTATTTTTTATTATTACATTATGTACATTCTACTGTCACAATTTTCGTCACAATTTCTTCAAGCTAAACCAAGCTTTTATTTTGACGGGTTGCCTTGAAGACCTTTAGTTTCTGTGTGTATGTGAAATGGTGATAGTTTTTCTCAAATGAAACGCTCAAATGCTCATGAAGTGACTCAGAGCAGCTCTGGAGATGTTGTTCATGTGTTCATGTCCTCATTTAGTGAGTGGCAGAGGCTTTTAAGTGTTATGTGTGTAGTAAACAAAACCGCTCACACAGAGACACACAGAACATGCTGGATTCATATTTAAATAGTTCTTTTACAGTTTAATATTCACAGTCCATATCTCCATTTGATTTAAGTGTACTGACCTACTTTTGATTTATTCATCCAAATTTTGACAAAATCATTACGCGTTATACAGTAAATTACATTTTTATGACTGGATTCCCGCGATTCTGTCCATGTTTTCCGCATTGAAATCAAACTTTGTGTGACAAAGAAAGGTTAGTTTAGGTTGTAAAATGTCATGTGGTGCAACTTCCAAAAATTTTATAATATTTATTATTTAACAAGTATTGTTAAAAAAACAAATATGACTATTTCTTATTTTTCCTCTGTGTGTAAACTTTAAAAACTTTTTTTTTTGAGAGTTTGTATGAATTAAACATGCACTATATTCTTACAACCTACAGCATGATGTCTCCCCGATCAGGAATCAGGACTCCCCTAAAATATGCGAATTGAAGCATGCACTGGATCTTTAAAGGACAGAGATAATCTCATCTGTCCTGCCATCTTCAGTTCATGATGAACGCCACCTCATTCACACTGAATCTCTCCAGTTTAAGCAACGGGACAGATGTGGCGGTCTCTGGTCCCGTCACCTGGAGGATGGCCATGATCACTTTCATAACCGTCCCACTCTCCATCATCACCATCATAGGCAATGTCCTGGTCATGATCTCTTTTCGGGTCAACCCGCTCCTGAGGACAGTGAGCAACTACTTCCTCCTGAGCTTGGCCGTGGCCGACTTCATTTTAGGCGCCGTCTCGATGAACCTCTACACTACCTACATCCTGATCGGCCAGTGGACTTTAGGAAACCTCGCCTGTGATGTGTGGCTGGCTTTGGATTATGTGGCAAGCAACGCCTCTGTTATGAACCTGCTGGCCATCAGTGTCGACCGCTACCTCTCTGTCATGCGACCTCTGACCTATCGGGCCACTAGAACGCCCAGAAGAGCGGCGGTGCTGATTACTCTAGCATGGATCATCTCGTTTGTGCTTTGGGCTCCAGCTATTTTGTTCTGGCAGTATATAGTGGGTGAACGGACTGTTCCAGAAGGAGAGTGTTCAGTGCAGTTCCTGTCTCAGCCTGTGATCACATTCGGGACGGCCATCGCTGCATTTTACCTGCCGGTGAGCGTGATGGTGGCGTTGTACTGGCGTGTGTACCGTGAGACAGAGAAACGCTCTCAGCAGCTCGCTGGACTCATCGCTTCACAGGGAGGACGCACGGGAAACACATCTCAGGTGGGTTTCAAGTGGACTCGTCCATTATTTTACATTTTAGGTCAGTAAAAGTTTCTTTGTTAGCATCAGCGGTTCCATGAAGAACCTTTAACACCATGGAACCTTTCCATTCTACAAAACGTTCTTTATAGTGGATAAAAAGGTTTTTAGATTTAGAATGTTCTTTACACTATAGGAGAAAAAAATTATTCTTTTAAGAGCTGTTCACTGAAAGGTTCTTAAGGGAATCAAAAATGGTTCTGCTGGAGAAAAAAAAACACCTTTGGGCTGTACATTTTTTTTTTTTTAAATACAATTAACGCAGCATCCGTTTTTTCAATTTATAGTTTATGTGAAGATTGTTTTAGGTTCACTCAAATTAAAAGTTGTTATACTTTTCAAAGCCTATTTAATGTTACAAATTATGGTTTTCAATTATACTGTAACGTTGAATGGCTATAATTAATGGCTATATTTGAGGCAAAAATGCTTTTAATAGAGACATCAGGCTATTGGTATCAATTATACTGGTCCTCATTAAAAATAGGCTACTTAGTAAAAAGATGCCTTTAAACATCTATTTAAAATATACCTTTATGTTGTGTCTATTTGTTTGGAGATTCAATGTGGAATTATGACAATGTGATTAATCATGATTAATTACAGAAAAATGTGATTAATTAATTTTTTTTAATTGATTGACAACACTAATATATATATGTATATACATGTGTGTGTGTGTGTGTGTATATGTATAGTGTAGTGTCAGTGTAGTGTACTTTTTTCCATACACCCCAACTCCATATAAAACAACTTGACACAATCACATGGTACACAAAGGATGCAAGCCATGTACACAGGAATCCAGACTGCAGCTATATTAGGAACAAAATTCCACCCTTGAGAACAGGCTGTGAACTTTGAAGTATTGTATGATTATAAACTCCAGCACAAACACACTGACAGATGCCCTTCAGTAACACAGGCTCTTTAAAATGGAGTAAAACCATCTAGTTCAGCAATGTATTTACAGATTCACCTATCCAGAAAACTCTTTAGTATATAACTAGATTAGCACTGAAGTTTACTTTTAAGCTGTTTCTTGCCCATGTGCGCAGAGTGACGCAGGAAGGAACAAGACATCCTGTTGAAATGAATCATCATTCCAAAAACCACAATCCCGCCCTTTCCAGTAGTTTAAGAAGTGCTGTCTTTGTGCTCCCTTCAGCTAACAAACATCTGTTTCCATGAGCAGATCATGCAATAAGCCTTAAAACTTTACCCATTACAAATAAATTTTCTTTCACACTTCAGTTTTCCTCTTTTTGTCATGGAAAACTAGTGTGCTGGAGTCTGATTATGAAAGCTAAGAGGTTTCCAATGAAAACACGCTTTGAGACAAACGTCTGGCTGTCATGGTGCATCTCAAACGTTAAACACCATGTTAGATGTGTTTATTTCATTGAAGGACTGGATTTCATTCACATTTTATACACAGCGAGTTCATGATTAAGCCTCCAAGATTTAAACTCTTAAAAAGGAAGCTTCCAAGAATGGGTTTTTGCAGTGATGCAAGAGAAGAAACACATTATGGGTTCCTCAAAGAACCTTTCAGTGAACAGTTCATTAAAGAAAAATTTTTTAGGATAAAGAAAATTGTAATAATTGGAAGAACCTTTTTCCACTGTAAAGAACTTTTTGTGCAATTGAAATGTTCCATGGAATTGAAAGGATTCAAAGGATACAAAGATTAAACACCACGTAAAGTATGAACACAAAACACCTTATATCATATCATATTATCATATTTGAATATATGAACTTGACTATCCATCAGCCGTAACATATGTTTCACTGTATAAACATTAAAATGGAATCAAAACTGATTACTCACCCTTTTCAAAGATAAAGAAAGTGAAATGTTGACGTTTGAAACGTGGTTGTGAAGGAACTACCCGTAAAGATCTGATCTAGACAGACTGAAACCAACACCCACCATCCGCTCAACAGGTTGGCTCAGTCCTGAGTGGGTTGAGCTTTGAATGAAGGATCTTTTCTCTGGGAGAGCAACTCTGACAGTTTTTAGTTTGCCATGCACGCTTGGGCTGAATTTATTCTGCTGGTGAGTGAACACGATGATCTAACAAAAGTAGAGGAATAGAACTCTCTAAGAAGTCTGAAATAAATGTGTTAAAGGGGTCATATGATGCGATTTAAAATTTTTCCTTTCTCTTTGAAGTGTTACAAGCTCTTGGTGCATAAAGAAGATCTGTAAAGTTGCAAAGACTAAAGTCTCAAATTCAAAGAGATGTTCTTTATAAAAGTTAAGAGTCAACCACGCCTACCTAAAACGGCTCGTTCTAACACGCCCCCACATATCTACGTCACGATGTGGGAAGATTTGCATAACGCCGCCCAAATGTTCACGCAAAGAAAGAAGGCATAACTTTGATTCTCGCTGTAGTATTGTTGTTGCCGTGTGTTCCGTTGTGAAAGCGAAACTACTTTGTTTGGCCTTCCAAAAGAGGATGATATCCGCTTCGTTATGCCTGGAGCTGATCCGTGCTGGTCGCTGAGGGAATACATCAACTTCGCGCTGTGGATCGCCGGATCGGCTTTCACCGTGGACGAAGCGGAGTCCAGCCCGGGGTCATCACATGTGGTTGCTGCAAGCCCGCCGGATGCTCCTTCGTCAAATCTGCTGGCCGCCACTCACTCTAGCCCGCCGTGTGTGACGCTGTGTTTCGTTGTGAAAGCGAGACTACTTTGTTTGGCCTTCCAAAAGACCACACGAATCAGTGGTTAAATTGTATTTACAACACTGTTCCAGAACACTTCAACCCAAATATTCAGGTGTGTGCAGCACATTTTATGGAGGACTGTTTCCTGATCCTGGTAGAGTAGACTACAATGCCGGCTGTTCTGACTCACAGACTGTAAGTACGTTTTTTTATATATAAAGAATTTGCCACTGATGATTCAAACGCAAGTTTGATGGGTTTTAATGTTTTTGTCTCGTCGCTCTGGCCGGGACACGACATCACAATATGGTAAGGGGCATAACATTTCCGTCACACGCTTGAGGTATTCGGCCAATCACAACGCACTGGATAGCTGGCCAATCAGAGCACACCTTGCTTTTCAGACCAATGAGCTTTGTAAAAATCGACGCGTTTCAGAAAGGCGGGGCACAGAGGAGAAACAATAATGTACACTATGTGGAAAATAATGTGTTTTTTTAACCTTAAACCTCATAAACACATTTCATTACACCAAATACACAAATGTATAATAATGTTTTTTTTAGCAACATCATATGACCCCTTTAATATAAGGGAATTTTCAGAATGTATTTTTCACAGGCGATTTTTGATTGTGTTTACTTTAAATTACACATTGTATTGTGTTTTGTTTTAGGGTTGGAGGAAATGTGCATAAACTTAACGGAAAAGTTACTGGTAATTTTATGCCTGGACATTATCATGTGGACATTATGGATTTCAATGTATACAACATTGAGAAACAGGTCAAATAAATATAAAAATTAACCACTTTATTTATTTATTTATATATATATGTATTTATCTATCTATTTATTTATCTATTTATTTAAAATATTCCCTCTTTGTTTTAATAATACATTTCAGCATTTGATTCTACTTTGATTCCTACTACAAAAAAGACATTTGGCTTTCATCTTGCACAAGGCCAGCCAAATTCAGACATAAAACATGACAACAAATGCAATTTTGCAGGCCAATAACTGAGAATCTTTATTAATGCGCCACTTTGAGAGATTGCTCAAATTTATAGAATAATTTTACAAATTCAAAAGCTCAGTTTTTGGGCAGGGACTGTGATTAATGTATAAATTAAGGGTTGAAACAATGGAAACCCTACAATAAAATAAAGTACAGATGAGAAGTGGAGCTAGTTAGCCATCAGTAAATATACAGAATAAAACAGTCTTCTACTCAATTACAAATCCATTAGAAAGTTTCAGCAGACGAAGTCACTGATCCTTAGATTTTGCTTGCGTCTTCATCATCCCTATGTCAAAGAGATGAGGTACTTTTTAAATTATACCATTTTCGTGTCTCTTATTATCATAAATAATATGTTTTGATTTCAAAATGTACATAATTTCATTTAGATGTAAAAGTGTGAATATGACAGTGAGATCAGGTGACCTACTTTCTTTTTGGTTTGCACTGCCCCCCTGTGAAGAGAACAATCTGTTACTCTTTTTGCCTAAAATGTCAAACATAAGGTTTTCTTTAGGTAGAAAATGCATGTGTAAAAATTCAGAGCTACTAACAACACAGAACTCCAACCCCTCCAGCTATAAGCAGGGCTGTGAAAACCAACCCCCCGATCCTCAGCGCCTCATAGTCTAAAAACAGAAGCATTTTAATCTAGCTTAAAAAGGATTAAAAATTGTATATATTTGTATACATTCATTTTTATCATATGTATACATTTATATTCATATTTATACATTTTATATATATTATAAGGTATATTTATAAGGATATCATGAGCATCTGCCTCAGTGTACTTACTGTAAACAAAAGGATCTGCAAAGGCAAAGAAGAGGAGAAAACTTAGACTGCCATTGAAAACAGACAAAAATGCTGCCAAAAATCTTAATGTTGTCAATGCATGAGACAGGATTAAACACTGAATAGTGATATTAGAAACAAACAAACTTTTCTGTCTTACTCGCTTCAGCTCGACTGAGGAGTGCCAAGAAGACTGTAAATGAAAATAAAGATTTATGAAAAATCATACACATACACAAAGAAAAAAATAATTACTGGCATTAACAAACAAATAAAGTATAAGACATTTGGGGGAAAGGTAATACTCTCAAAATATTGCACTCCTTTTTAAGATTTAAAATAAAAATATACATTTTGTTCTGTAAAATAAATAAGCAATTTAAGTTCAAATTCATGATTTACTGTATGTATGTCATAAACTACTGTGTATATATACTGTAATGAGAACTTAATTTTGAATTTAGAAAAGATACTAGTTTTTATAACCATAATTTTCTAAAAAAAAACAAACAAACAAAAAAACAGTTAAAGTCAGTAAGTCCTATACTGTAAATGTGGACAGAAAGTATTTTTTGAATACTTGACCTTCAGTCCCAAGGGCACAGATCAGTCTGTGACCTTTACTGTGTACATAAATAGTCATGACTTACCTGTAAGGAGAACTAGTTCTGTGAGCTGGCTCATTTTTACCCCTCCTGATCAAGGACACACACACACACACACACACACTAAATGAGCCATTATATATTTTTTGTCTTACAGTAATAATTCACTCAAAAAAATTAAAATGTTGTCATTTATTCACCCTAATATAGTCTTAAACCCAATATAATAACAATAAATGATTGGGGTTCCAAAATGACAAAAAATACCCTAAATGAGTCAGTTGATTCCGATCACACAACAATTATTGAATCCGACTGATTCAGTTCTCTTAAACTCACTAAACATATAAAACAGATTTATTTTGAAATACTTTTTCAGTATACATAAACATATTGCCAGTGTCGGCTACTTGCAGCACGTATAATTAGATGGAATATGTTCTGTTCTCATGTACAGGTCAACAGTGAGACGCGGAATGTTTGTTTAGAAACTCCAGCTGTAAGTGCAGCTGAGAGAAAGCAGCACTCGTGTTTTGAAAGTAAACATAAAAATGATGGGTCGACACAGTCGGGACGCAGCACGTTCCAGGACACTGCTGGTGTACCCTTGAATGCCTGGAGGTGTTTTGGAAAGTTTGCCCTCCCACCTCCTCTGGTTATAGAATCATCTCGAAACGCTTTGGATCTGTAGCTCACTGATCACACATGGGCCCTGAAGTCTGGATGCCATTTTTGTTCTATTAATGTGTCTTTTATCTGACTGAATAGATTGAAGAGATTTAAAGAGAGTTCACACAAGAATGAAAATTCTGACACCATTCTCACACTCAAGTTGTTCCAAACCTGTATGAGTTTCTTTCTTCTGTTGAACACAGAACATATTTCGAAGATTGTTGATAACCCAACAGTTGCTGGTAGCCATTGACTTCCATAGATTTTTTTTTTGTTCTATACTCTAGACGTCAATGGCTACCAGCAACTGTT